AGATGTCAACGACCAACTTGCCAATAAGTGCTATGTTCGTCCAATCAAGCTAATTGGACGATTGTGCCGTCTAGTAGGCCTGCTTTATGCCTCTATATTTACTGCTTGATATCTCCACCGTTGGATGAGGACGAATCCAATGATTCTTTGGCATTCTGCTAATTCCCTTTTAGAAGGAAATCTTTATTTTCCTTACTCTTCACACGTTAGGGTTGTTTGAGATGTGCTATATAAATGTACTTTTTGACTTTTTGGCTAATAAAGTAAAGAAAAAATATATGTTTGGAATAACTTTTGACTTTTTATAAAAAAAAATGTGTAATAAAATATTGTAGTAAAATCAAAATGACAATTCTACCCTTGTTGACTTTTTGATTTTTGAATAGTTGAATTCAAAGTGCCCTCTAGGCTTCTTCCACAAGCTTCTTTCAAATATGACTTTTTTAATAATTTTTTAACTTTTTGACTTTTGTAGATTATCCCAAACCAAGCCGCTGCTATCTCTAATAAGCTCCTTAGAAACTTATCTGGGCATTTCCTTTCTTCTGAACTGCTATGCTCAATTATTTTTGAGTTTGGGCCAATATTTTACACTTTCACAATAATAATAATAATAATAAATAAATAAATAACTGGACTTGAGTGAGTCTTGACATGTTAACTATACCTAAGGATTCTGAGCCTTAACCACCATGATATTAACTATACCTAACTATACCTATCTAAGGATTGAGAAGTCCATAACCACCATGCTATCAATTTTTTTTCTTATCAGAAAGAATGTTTTGGCAACTCAAGAAAGTGGTTAAAGTAGTATTATACAAATTAATACATTATATATATATATATATATATATATTTTATTAATATAGCATTTATCATATTATTGAAATAGATCATATTTCATATTCTAAAGTTTGGTCATTAGTCACACAAACTTGTACTATCATTAGCTTGGACAAAACACCTAAAGAGTCGAACTTAAATCATCTAAATTTACAATTTGTTACACTTGTCCATTGAGTTACGGGTGCATTTACATTTACCGTATTTCTCTTTATCATTTTACTTGTTAACATAATATTAATGTAACGGATCTCATTAATGTATGTTTTCAGTGCAGTGCTAACAACTAAGTTGACATAAATAATAAGATAACATAATATAAATAGATAGCCATTTCCGCATGAAAAATGATATTCATACATAATTTTTCTATAAATTTTAAGATAAAGAATGATGTGGCAATATTCTTACAATTATATGAATCAAAGTAATGAAATTTTGATTTTCAAACTATAAATAAGACAAAATTTTGTTTAAGTTTTTTTAATACAAATTCTGTTTGTATAACATTACCCTTGTAGTATTACTTGAGAACGAATAACTATTTACTTCCACATGTAATTATGACGTGACCATAACGTAAATTGACCCAGACCATCTCATACAGTCCAAATCAGTTTGTGGCATGGAATAATTTTTGTTTCATGCACCATTCAACCACACAAGCAATTTGTTGGGCAGCCTGAATGTGCAGTGTGTACGCGTTCGGGCATACCCAAAAATACTTGGAAAATAAATAAATAAATATACAAGTAAATAAAAAACATTAAAAGTCATGTGATCATTCAACTGAAACATAAGAATACCGTACATAATATTTGGTTTTCCGCCATTATTGTACTTTCGCCAACTTAATCTAAAGAATTAAATATTTATTAGATAGATTGATCAATAGGGTACTCTGAACACTTAGGGTTTAGAGAGAATAACATATGTTAAATTTGTGGTATGGTCAACTATATTCAATTGCAATTTGCAACAACTATAACATATATGAGTCTTTGCTCTTTGGTACATTCATTCCTCTTTTGCTGACTTTATTTTTTTACGTTAGGTTGATGACTTTGAATCATTATAAGTCTGTCTTTGAGTCTGCCTCATGACAATTATACCCATTATGATTAGGGATTGTCAAGAATATAATTACAGTGTTATGTGTACAGATACAAAATACAAAATAAAATACGTAAGTTTTATCATGAGTCTCATATATGAGTTCCACATCATGTAAAATTTATAATCTATAAAATATTTGTGTTTTATTCTAGGTTTAATTGAAAGAGACTAAGAGCAATTTGGCCACATAGAGTAGCCACCAATCGAGGCTTAATTAATGGAAACAGATGGTTAAGGGGGGTTGGTGTCTCCCACCGGCGTTAGACTTGCGAAGGCATGACAGATGGTTGATGATAGGAAAATTGCAGCCACCTTTCGTGCTTTGATTTTTGAATTAAGCCTTTATTTTTTGTTGACACATTGGACTTCCAACTTTTTCTTTGAATTCCAAAAAAATCAACTTAGTTAGCTCAATTAGTCATTCATCTACAACTCTTATTGGAGAGGTGAGTGAGTCAATCATGCTAAAAGTAAAACATTGATTATTTCTCTCTATTAAGGGAATTGTATGATGTTGTTTATTTCTTTCCATTGGGATGGTCAGTTTGTTATGGTGATTGTTGAGCTTGAATTGTTTATTTCTTTCTATAATTGAACTATAATTATCCAAATTAATGTGATTTTTTTTTTTTTAATCGGCGAAAGTCAATTGACTTTAATTTAACTGATAATCACATTGTTGTTTTTTTTGTTGTTTCCATTTTTTTTGCTATGTTTTCCAAGGAAGCTGGGCTACAGTTGAGAGAGACACGAGCATCGAGTTCAGAGCTATCAGCACCAACTGTTACTAGGCCCTCTATGTATTTCTTGAAATGATAAAATAACTTCATAAATATTTATTTTCATGTGTAATTATATTGTGGATTGTGTGTTTGGAAACTATGATCATATTTATTATTAACATTATTTTTTGTATTTCCAAAGCATATTATATCATCAGAATTAATTGCCATTTTAGATTGTCGTTGGTACCTAAGACCCTCCTAGTGTATTATCTGGTGCCTAAAACCTCTCTTTTATGATCTTGAAGACTTAATTATGGCCAATAGTCAAAAGATCTTAATGAGTATATGGGCTTTGACATACACTAAGCATATAGGTTTTACAACAACTAAAAATGAAACAAATAATTATGAAGATATAAAATACAAAAGAGTTTTCTAAGCGTGATTCCTATCAGTCTTGTTGATTTAAATTTTCTCAGTGTATTGAATTTGTCAAATAACAAATTGTTGAGAAAAATCCCAACAAGCACTCAATTGTCTGCATATTCTGGGAATCCTGAACTATGTGAGCTTCCACTTCCAAATAACTGTCGGGGAGACAAAATAGTTGTGAAATCTCATGGCAAAGACAAAAGGATTGAAGAAGAAGACAACAAGGATAAGTTTGTTACCCTTGGATTTTATGTTAGCATGTGGCTTGGTTTTGCCTATGGATTTTGGGCAGTTTTGGGGCATTATGATTTTTAACAATCCATCAGACATGCTTATTTCAAGTTCTTGGATTACATAAAGAATTGGCTTTATGTGACAACTACGTTTTTTTTTATTTTTTATGTGACAACTGCATTGAATATAGCCAGACTGCAAAGGAGACTTTAGTGGTATTGGTAAGTATTTTTTTTTTTTTTCAATTTTGTTACTTTTTTGTGTCATGATCATTCCTTCCTCTTTTTTCTTTTTTTTTTCAAATCTTACATAAGATGTATCGTTTGAATTTGTAATTCATGTGTAGGGTCTATGTTGGAAGCTACCTTCAGCTCATTGGTCCAAAGATCTATCTGTTTGGTATTTCCGTCCTATTTTCTAACTAATTCTAGTCCTATATAGAAGTCATTTATTAGCATTTTTTATTTTTTTACTTTTTTTATGATATAATTGTTGGATTATTTACCAATAAATCCTACTTCACAAACTGTTATACCAAATAGTCCCACTTTTATTCTATTATACCAAATAGTCCTGTTGGTGGGTTGATTTGGTCCTTTTTGATTTTTTTTTTTCTTAACCATGTGAAGCACACACTGTATCCAACAATCCAAAGCCTCAAAGGCTTCGTCGGAGACTCCTTCCGACTCACCACCAACACCGACAAAACAACGAACACGAACGCGAAGTTCCACAACAGATCCAGAATTACGATCGGCTTCGAGTACGCCCAATCGCTCTGCCTCGCTTCGATCTGCTCCGCCGCCGCCTCTCTTACCCTCAACTCTGGCTCGCGCATCATTCTCCGACTGCCGCGGAGGCTCGGCGGGCGGCGCACGAACCGGCGGCTCAGGAAGATCTGATCGGTCAGCAACGGCGTCGCATCGATTAGCTATTGTGTGTGTGTGTGTGTCTGCCCCTCGCAATGTATGTGTGTATCTGTGTGTGTGTATCTGTGTGTGTGTGTGTCTGTCTGTGTGTATCTGTGTGTGTGTATCTGTGTGTGTATATGTGTGTGTGTGTCTGTCTGTGTGTATCTGTGTGTGTATATGTGTGTGTGTGTGTCTGTCTGTGTGTATCTGTGTGTGTGTGTCTTTCTGTGTGTATCTGTGTGTGTGTATGTGTGTGTGTATATGTGTGTGTGTGTCTGTCTGCCCCTCACAATGTATGTGTGTATCTGTGTGTGATAGGAGAAAGATGGGACTAAACGGTTTAATAGAATAAAAATAGGACCAATTGGTTCATAAGTTCAAATTTTGGGATTTATTGGTAAATCTCCCATAATTGTTTCTAAAAAAAAATATTTTTGGCAAATGCTAAAAAAAATTTGGGTAAATTACACTAACCTCCCCTAAGGTTTATGACAACTACAAAGACCTCCCTCCAGGTTTCTAAAATAACAATAACCTCATTTGTCAGTCACATTTGACAAACTCTGTTAATAGAAAATGTATTTTTACATTTTTACCGTCATCTATTTATTTAATTTTAGTGTAGTAAGCCAAAAATTGACAAGATCATGCTGTAAACATTTGTAACATTTGATCCTATCCTATTACGCTTATCTTCTTTACTTTAACTCTACTCTCACCTGGCTACAAACGCAACACCGCCGCACCCTCAAAAACATCATTACTACTAGCCCCAAACCACAGCACCAACCAATCCCAAGACCCATCAGCACCATAACCGCCCAAGCCCCAACACCGTTACACAACCTCAACCCCTAATCCCACCACCCACACCAACACCAACGCAAACCTCACAGCCCACGACTTATAATCCCAAAAAACCTATCACCAAAAATCAACGACACCCTCAAATCTTGGCAAAAATCAATCAATACCCCTTAATTTTTATGGTGGGTAGGTGTGGAGTGTTGACTATTGAAATTGAGCATGTTGATGTGGCAACATTAGAGAAGTTAGAACAACAAGGGGTGGATTGTCAACCCAAAGTCTCCACTATCCGAATTATACAATCTGCGTCGAATTGGATACCTTTATGCAGAATTTAATTTTGCTTTTGTGGACAATTGCCTTCTTTTTTTTTTTCTATAGTAGTTTTTGGTTAATCTTTTGAATCTATTATTGTAGTTACTCTTATTTATTTGTAAGTTTTTCACTCCTTTTTGCAAACTACGTGGACTTTTTGATCTAGTAATTTGGTAATCCATAGATATTTTGTTGTGAGAATTTTGGTAGTGATAAATTAATCTAAGTTAAATACAATTATCTTTATTAAGATATTTCTTTTTTATATTTTCTTGTAATGAAACAGACAGATAGGTAGTTTGAATTTTTTTTATTCAAACAATTATCAACTCTGTTTTTGTGATGAAATTTGTATTTTTGGACTATATTTTACCTTTTTCAGGATAAATTTCTCCAGAAAGTTCATTTTTCGCGTCATGGCATTCCACTTCCTGATTTTATGCAGGTTAGCCACAACTTTTAAGAATTTGGCACAAGGATCTAGTTATCAATTCACACTTTTCTTTGTCCTTGAAAATGTTAGTTTTAGGATATCCTTTTTTTTTTAATTAATTTTTTGTCTAGTAATATTAAAATATGGCATAGACAGATATATGATTTTGAAAGTGCGAAGAGAGTTGGCGAACTATTTGTCTATCCTCTAATGATAAAGAGCAGGAGGCTTGCTTATGATGGGCGTGGAAACGTTGTTGCTAAGAGTGAGGAGGAGATCTCTTTTGCAGTAAATGGTAAGATGTTCATTACTATAATTACTTGAACCAGTGAAGCATAATAATTAGTATATTTTTTCCAATGAGATGCAATTGCTTTCATTAATCAAATTTGTCACCTTCTGATTTTTTTTTCCTCTTTTTTTTTTCTTTTTATGAGTACACCATCTAAATCTTTAAGCATTAATATTTTTTAGTATTGGGGAAGTCTTCTTTAACTCATACATAAACATTTTAAGGAATTTAGTCAATGCAACTATGTTCATATAGAAAATATTAAGTGACCACGATCAACATATGCTTCATAACAAGCTAGTCTTCAAAACCCATCACAGTCTGCCCGGGGGGTCATCATCAAATCTTTAAAATGTTTTCTTACCTAGTCAATACTTGTGTTTGTTAAAAATTTGCCATTGCATATGTTGGTTCACCATCATGTTTCATAAATTATGGTTACTTTTGTTTAGCTTCAATCTAATATGCTGCAATTAATGTAGGAAAACAAATTCACCTTTATTAACTGTTTCTTAGATAAATTGCTTCTAGCTTCTCTAATTTTCAAGACCATTCTCTTTGCAGTCTTTGGAGGCTATGATCGTGCATTATATGTTGAGAAATGGGCTCCATTTGTAAAGGTTTACTTCGACTCTGTGCCTTTAATTTATCAAACCATCTGGACATGCTTATTTTGAGTTTTTAGACCACATGAAGAATTGGTTTTATGTGACAATTGCACTGAGTATGGCTAGATTGCAAAGAAGGCTTTAGAGGTAAATGGTAAGTATCTTTTTTTCATTTTGTTACTTCTCTTATCTTTTTGTGTCTTGATCATTGCTAACAAGTTAGACATTATTTATTTTTTTCAAATCCTACATTAGCTGATTTAAGCACACACTTGCTGTAATGACCCAATTTTTTTTTTTAAATAGCCGGCGCATAATTTAATTGAGCAAATTTTCGAATTTGATTGTCGTGTAAATTCTGTGCGAAAATAGTTCGGTTTTGTATCTTTTAAAAATAGTTCCCGATCTCAGAAAATTATCAAATTTTTATATGTTGTTCCCATATGAATCTAGCACGTTGGATAAAAATTTCAGAATTTATGATGAGTATTTATTTTATGAAAAATCACGGACTGATTGGTGTTCGGTTTAATTTATAGCAGAATTTAAAATTAAGTTTTGGGTGTTCGGACCATGATCTGAGATAAATCAGCTGGGGATTTATTTTTAATTATTAAACTCCATTCATTTTGGACCTAATTGATTGAATTGTGACTCGTTAGTAACCATGTAATAGTGTTGTGATTTTATTATTATTATTTGACTACTATAAAAGAGTTGTGAATATTTATGGTGTGTACCATTAAACGAAATATATTTTGTGGTGAGAAACCATTATATTTACTTTTGTCATTAAAGATGTTGAAATTTATTTTTAATTGATATATATATATATATATAGGTGTATATATATATGGTTAGATATTGGTTTAGTTAAAACAAAAAAAAAAAGAAATATATATAAATAGCAACTAAATAGATATTTTGTTCAACTTTTGGGAATTCTTGGAGTTCTTGCCTTGAGGAAACAAGAAAAAAGAGGTTCCAAGTTGGTTTTTCTTGGATTTGATCTAGTGTAAGTCATTTTTGACCCCTAGTGCTTTGGATCAAAACGTAGAGGGCGGAAAAGGCGTCGTTTGGCTCCAAAAAAATTTAATTTCTATTGCCAAAAAATTTGAAAGCTTCTTGGCTCAAGGTAGGGATTTTTCCTACACTTCTTTATATAATTTTACTTGATTATATGAAGGTTAGAGTTGTATATAATTTAATTAGAATTTTTTGAAAATTTGTGATTTATTTGCTTAAAAGGGAAATTTTGAGAAAAATAAAAAGTTGATGCCCAAATTGCGAAAGTGTAAACTTGGAATATGTTTGTAAGGTTATGAAAGGACTATGTTTTAAATTTGAACAAAAACGGACTTCGACTCGATCGGTTTTGAAATTTTTATCGGTTTGCGACCAAAAGAGCATTTTTAAAGAAAAAAAAGGAATTATGTTTAACTTTTGGGGCTTTTGATCAAAATAGGACGTCATAGTTAATAATGCTTGGAGAATGAGTTTGGAAAGAAAATGATGTTTTCTTGGGCATTAACGGTATTATTTTGCTCAATGTATCTGTTGGAATAAAACCGACACGGTTAGAAATGGACCTTGAGAGGTTACCGGACGTGATTATGATATGAAAACTAGTATAGTTGTTCATATTTGATGAGATGTGGAATAGATTATATTTATCAATTTTTTTGGAATTTAATTATTTAAATATCTGTTTAGAAATATCTGTTTTTGGCTATCGGTAGAGAATAGCCATGATTGTTGTAGAAATGCATGAGACTTAGGTAAATTGAATCACATTCCTCATTTGTTGCATTGGACATTGCATTACATTCATTTCATTGGAAATGTATCTGTTCTTTGAGAAATGTTTGGAAATGTATCTGTTTGCGAAAAGATAAATACTTGATGAATCTAAGTAGGGAGTGTAGAACCGCGCGGTTAGGTGTCGAGCATTCAAGTTTAGTGGTAAAAATGACAGTGGTAATGTATTGGGGCCCACTTGCAGACACTCACCTAGAGATTTATAGAGCATGTATACATGTAACAGATATGGTTTAAAATGGAAATGGTTTTATATCTGTTGTTGCATCTCAGCATTGCATACTTTATAAAAAGAGAGATAAATTATTTTATCATGACCATGGCATGAGCATACTCCTCTTTAGTCTTATCATTGTCCATATGTTGTGTAGTATATCTCTACTAGACTGTGGTTCACCCTATAAGGGAAACCATTTCAGGTATAGGTGTTATACCTCCGCCAAGGCATTGACTTGGGAGGACTCGGAGCTGAGGCTTTATTTTTGTTTTATTGTTGTTTGTTAAATGTAAGCCCAAGACTGTATTTGCGTTGAGTTGAAACTCCATTTTGTGTAACCAAGAATGTTCTTAGATAAATTTGTAAGCCTGTAGGGCACTTATTATCTATTCGGCTTCCATTTTATACTTGTTGTAAAATGTATGCTTGGGATTGGAACTGGGACATTGAGATGTGAATAACATGCATTTGGCATTTGGGATTTAATGGAAATGGATGTATGGAATAGTTAGCTATATATGTGTGTTTGTTTATCAGGTGGGTTTTGTAGCATAAATAGATATACCTTGCCCAATTTTCGGGGTATTACACTTGTTATTTGCTTGAGCTTGTGGTTTTTCTTAGGTCTATTTTCTAATTATAATACATATGTGCAGGTCTATGTTGCAAGCAATCTTCAGCTCATTGGTCTCAAGATCTATCTATATGGTAACTTCTACCGCCACCCTAATTTTTAACTAAGCTATGGCTTGACATCCACTGTATGTTTAGTTGTCATTGATATATAAAACGGTCCAAAAATTAGCTTTAACTTCTTATCTTTTTTTGTTTAGTGATGATGTGCTCTGCCATTGCAAACCTAACAAAGCCACTAAAGTTGTGCCATATTTATGCAAACATACTGAATTGATCCCTGTGTATAAACTATATTGATAGCTGGCCAATATTTAGTTGGCTTTAATTTAACTAATAATCACATTTTTTTTTCTTTCTATTTTTGTTCTATGTTTTCCAAGGAAGCTGGGCTACACCTGAGAAAGACAAGAGCGGGGATTTGGGAGCATACAAAGCGGAGTTATCAGCACCAACTGTTACTAGGCCCTCTATGTATTGCTTGAAACGATGAAAGAACTTGATAAATATTTTTTTTTTCTTGTGTAATTATATTGTGGATTGTATGTTTGAAAGGATTGTGTGTTTGTTTTTGCTATTCACTGTGTGTTTAGAAGGATTACAATAAAATGTTTGTAATTACCCAATTAATTTTATAAATTATTGAGCATGATTATTTACGGGTGACTTGTTTGCTACATAAAAAAATGGTTGCTATGGGAGTTGTCTAAGTTTGGTTTGCTAATTGAATTTTTTAATAAATTTTTTACTTTTTAACTAAAATATAAGATGAAAAAAAAAATTAAAGTGTGGGGATGTATTTTGAAGGTCGTGACACGTGGCCGAGGTGTCACCGAGGTGTTGGCTGAGGTGCCACGTGGATGGGCCAGATTGTTGTGGTGATGCCAATATTGCCGAGATGTAGTGCGATAATACTGGATTCTGAGATATTTGGATAGAGGACAAGAATCCTAGATGAGAAGAGGAACTTAGTTCGGATAGGGATAAGGCTTTTGAGCAGTTTATCCATATCTGCCTAAGAGTCCGATATAAGTGTTATACTTGAGTCATATGAAGTGAGACTTCTAGGGGACAAGTGTACCACTAACTATAAAAGTAAGGCATCCCCGTGGGTCGAATGTATACTTTTATTTTGTTTGTTAAGTGTTTGTCTGATATCTTTGAGAGAGAAGATTGACTGACTTGATCGTCAGAGTTCTCCTTGGTGGACGAGCCACCGTAGTATTCTCATTTTCTTGTTTGTAGGTGCTGGCTTAATCTATTCTACATTGTGCTCTCTAGCTAAGTTCCCTGTTTGGTTGTGAGGTCAAAAATTAACACCCACATAAAGTATTTAAGAATATTTTTTAGTTTTTTACAAAACAAATTTATAAAAGTAAAGAAAGAATGAAAATAAATTTTTGACATTTTTATATGACTTTTCAGTGTCTTTTTTACTATATGAACTAGTTTTTCAAATGTCTTGGGACTGTGTAAAGGGAAAAGAAAATGTATGTAAAATTAGGTAAAATGTAGGTATATTTTATTCACATTTCACCAACATTTTTCCTTTCTTTTTTCAAATCTCTTTTCAAATTCTTGAACCAAACACAATAAGGAATTTTTTTTAACATCCTTGATATTAAGATTTTATAAAATAAAAGACATACAATATTTTCATAGTGGTTGGGGTTTTTCAATATTTTCACCGAGAAAATTTGACTTAGAAATTTGTGTCCGACTCAGAGAAATTTCGACTTGGCTTAGAAAATTTTTGGCCCTAACACAAAGAAGTTTTAATTTTCACAGAGAAATTTCATTGAGAAAAGTGTTTCGCTAATTTTTCTTTTTTTGTTACCTTATATTTTATGTGGGTGGATAATCCTGTGATACTGTATTTTTAGAAAGTCTAATTCATATTTTAATAAAGGATAAAATTAAAATCAACTATATTTAAAAAATACATTTTTTAAAGAAAAATTTAACTATTACCACAAATTAAAGTCTAAATTTTTAATTGTTTCATTTTAAACTATACATTTTCAATATTACATCAAAACTCAACCATCCGTTTATTTCCATCTAGGGAGTGTAATGGAGAATTTTTTCTTCAACAGGGTCTTTCTCTTATTTGTTATTTCAAATTTATCCAAAATTAAAATTAACTTTTACCATGGACCCTACGCGACAGAATTAGCCCTCCTCTTCTTCTCAAACCCTTCCCCAAACGACACCCACTTCCCCCAGCGAGTTGAAGATGGAGAGCCGAACTGGATCGCGGGTGTGGATTGCTCGATAATTTAAAATTAAGTTTTTTCATTTTTTACACATGCTATTTATGAATTTTCAATTCTAGAAATAATTCCTTTGAATTATTGTACTACCTGAGAAGTTGAGATACGCTTACATGTATTTTAAAATCAATCTATCTGAGTTTTCAATCATCTGCTCTTAAATTTCCTGAGGTTAGTGGAAGAAGATTTTTTTTGGCAGATAGAGGAGTGAGTGACATATTTGGAAGCATAGATAAGATATAAGTACTCTCCATGGGCAGTGCAGTGGTGTCATATGTCCCTTTTCTAGGCTTAAACCTGATATACATTTTTTTCCCCCATCTTTTACCGTGTTTGGATGGGAATTTAGGGTGAGATTTGGAAACGGAAAGGAAAAAAATTGTGTAAAATTAGGTTGATGTTATATTTTATTCACATTTTCTCTACATTTTTCATTTCTTTTTTTAAATCCCTCCTCAAATTTCCAACCAAACACCGTTTTCATCCATTTCCTTGTGATTTTCCTATTAATGGATTTCCAAAGTGGTTGGCCTGTGATCCTTGCAGGGAAGTAATTCTGCAAAAGCAGGACATTTGGCTTTCAGGTTAGTTACTTTATCCATTGATTTGTTCATTTCATAATTTTGCCAACACTTTACTGTGGAATGAAGCTTCATGTTTGTTTTTTTCAAACCCATCTTTTCCATTTTGTTTTCTCAGGCTTGGGATACACTAACGAAAATTTGCTTACAAAAACAGTGCTCTCATCATCTCTCTTTCAATTACCCACCCACGACCACCTTACCACAGCTGCCTCACTCACAGCACGGACGCCCCACCTACTCCTCTCTCTCCTCCTTCCCTTTACCCCTCGGCCTGCCCTACCCCTAGGATTTCTTTAAGATGTGAGTTTCACCAAACAAGAGTTGAATTTGAACTGCGTACGTCATCTTAAATGAATTTAGATCATACATTAAAAAATATTCTAAATATTTTTGTGTACAAATTTTGTGTAAGTAGCATTGCTCGCATTGAGCTGCTGTAAAGTCAATATATTTACACTGTATAGGCGGTGTTTGGCAACAATTTTTTTTTTGTTCTGCAAAAGCAGGACATTTGGCTTTCAGGTTAGTTACTTTATCCATTGCTTTGTTCATTTCATAATTTTGCCAACACTTTACTGTGGAATGAAGCTTCATGTTTGTTTTTTTCAAACCCATCTTTTCCATTTTGTTTTCTCAGGCTTGGGAGACAATAATGAAAATTTGCTTACAAAAATACTGTGCTCTCATCATCTCTCTTTCAATTACCCACCCATGACCACCTTACCACAGCTGCCTCACTTACAGCACGGACGCCCCACATACACATACTCCTCTCTCTCCTCCTTCGCTTTACCCGTCGGCCTGCCCTACCCCTAGGATTTCTTTAAGATGTGAGTATCACCAAACAAGAGTTGAATTTGAACTGCACATCATCTTAAATGAATTTAGACCATACATTAAATATTCTAAATATTTTTGTGTACTAGTTTTGTGTAAGTAGAATTGCTCGTGAGCAGCTGTAAAGTCAATATATGTATATTATAGAGTAAAGTAAACTTCGATTGGTTAAATATCACTCTTAAATGTGTTTTACATTGTCTCTTCAATTATTTAATCTTTTTATGATTTCCCCTTTGCAGTTGCTCTGCGTAGAGTTTCCAAGTTGAAATACTGTTTTTTTATTTATTATTTGATTTTTCAATTATTTAATTTTCTACACTAATTTGAAGGTAGAAAATCTTGAGTGGCTTTCTCATCTTTCTTTATTAAGCCACCTAGATCTTACTGTTATTGACCTCAGTCTAGCAGTCGACTGGTTTCAATCTATCAATAGTCTCCCTCTCCTTAAAGTGTTGAACTTAGCTAGCCGTAGACTTTCCTATATCACTCACCCATCAGTTTCTTTCAATTCTTCTCTGTCCCTTTCTATCATTGAAGTTCACCTTCACTCTAACAAGTTAAAAGGTCCAATTCCCGATGCTTTTGGAGACATGATTTCCCTCAAATACCTCAAGGCTATGTTTGATTCCACAAGACTAATAGTGAGGTATTAATAATCCTATCAAATTAGTGTGGTATTCACAATCCCACCCCTAGCCCATTATTAATAATCCTACAAATTTGTTGGATTAATTATCCATTGGATTAATAATCCTAAAACAAAATGTCAAAATAAACATGGGATAATTGGGCCCACGGATTAATAATCCCAATCCCATGCTCTAATCCTTCCAATCAAACATTCCCCAAGATCACTGACAATCAACTTGTAGGCAGCCTTCCAAAATCCTTAGCGAATTTAAGTCGCTTACAATCCTTGGATCTTTCTAATAACAATTTGACAGGTTTGATTCCTGATGCTTTTGGAGGCATGACTTCCCTCACAGATCTCAATCTTCTTAGAAATCAACTTGAAGGTGGCGTTCCCAATTCCTTTACGAATTTAAGGCATTTACGATTGTTAGAGTTGTCTTGTCTGAGAACAATTTAACAGAAGAGATTCATGAGTTTTTGCAAAAGTTATCTGGGGCAGAAAAGTCATTACAGTTTTTGGATTTAGTTGACTATCAACTTTGTGGACCTTTACCTGATTTCACAAAATTTTCTCTTTTAAGGGAATTTTCCCTTGAATACAATCAATTGAATGGGTCCTTACCAGAAACTTTTGGACAACAACTTCCTAGTCTTGTTTCTCTAGACTTATCTGGAAACCAAATTACTGGGTCACTGCCTGACCTTTCCATGTTTCTTCGTCATTGAAATCTTTACTTCTTGGAAACAATCAGTTGAGTGGCACCATACATGAAGGTATTGGACAACTTCCCAAGCTTCGGTTTGTCGACGCCTCTTTCAATTCGTTAAATGGCATAGTCTCTGAAGCTCACTTTCTAATCTCTCTAGTCTGCTTCATTTGGATTTCTCTTTGAATGAGTTAATTTTTTACTTGAATTCCGATTGGGTTCCTAAGTTTCAACTTCAGGTTATAGAGTTGTCGTCTTGCAAGCTGGGGCCTCATTTTCCAAAATGGCTTCGAACTCAAAATAAATTCTCTATACTTGACATCTCTAATGTTGGAATTTCGGACATTGTTCCCAGTTGGTTTTGGGATGTATCTCCAGGATTAAATTTTCTAAATCTCTCACACAACAAGATCTTTGGCTTGCTACCTGATCTATCTTTGAAGTTTCATGATAATCCGGGTATAGATTTAAGTTCTAATCTTTTTATACTAGTTCCTCCTAATGCAACATATTTGAATCTCTCCAAAAATAAGTTCTTGGGCTCACTTTCTTTCTTATGTTCAATTTCTGGTGTGGAACTTAAATATCTTGACGTCTCAAACAACCAACTAGCAGGGGAGCTACCGGACTGTTTGGGAAAATTCGAAGCACTATCCATTTTGAGTTTGGCATATAATAATTTGTATGGGGCAATTCCTAACTCAATTGGCTCCCTGAGTCAAATTCAGACTCTGAACTTACGCAACAATAATCTCTCTGGGGAGTTGCTTTCGTCTTTAAAGAGTTGCACAGAGTTGAGAATTATTGATCTGGGTGTAAATAGATTCACAGGAAAACTGCCAGCGTGGATAGGGACACATCTAACAAATTTAATTGTTGTTAGTCTAAGATCCAATGAGTTCAATGGAAGCATACCTCAACATATATGTCATCTTAACCATATTAAAATCTTGGACCTCTCTCAAAATGATCTGTCAGGAAACATACCTCACTGCTTCAACAATTTTACAGCTTTGGTTCAAAGTAATAGTTCCGGTGCAGCCATTAATTTCAGCTATATGGCACATGATGGTTATTTTACTGCTGGTGGCGACTATGTTGACAATGCATTGGTGCAATGGAAATGACAATTATTTGAGTACTGGAACACTCTAGGACTGCTAAAAATCATTGATCTTTCTAGCAATGAGTTAACCGGAAGAATTCCTGATCAAATTGCAAGTCTTGCGGGGCTGATTTCCTTGAATCTTGTGAGACACTATTTGACAGGAAAAATCATCCCAGAGATTGGTCAGATGAAAATGTTGGAATCTCTTGACTTGTCTGCAAATAAGCTATCAGGTGAGATTCCTACCAGCCTCGCACTCTTAAATTGTCTGAGCTTGTTAAACTTGTCAAATAACAACTTGGTTGGCAAAATCCCAACAAGCACTCAATTGCAAAGCTTTAATGCCTCTGTATTTTTGGGAAATCCTAAACTTTGTGGGCTTCTGCTTCAAAATAAGTGCCCAGGAGAAGAAACAAATGTGAATATTGCGGCCGGCAAAGACAAAAGAATATTCAAGAAGAGGATGGGTTCATTACCTTCGGGTTTTATGTTAGCATGGGACTTGGTTTCATCCTTGGATTTTGGACAGTTCTTGGCACTATGCTTTTAAACAGTCCATCAAGCCATGCCTATTTCAAGTTCTTGGACCACATAAAAAAATTGGTTGTGTGTGACTACTGCATTGAATATGGCTAGACTACAAAGGAGGCTTTATAGATAATCAGTAAGATTTTTTATTTTATTTTTAATTTTGTTAATTTCTTGCTTAAGTTCTTGGTTTTTCCTAGGTCTTTTTTTTTCCCTGATTCTAATACTTGTGCAGGTCATGTTGTGGATCTAGCTTTGGCTCTTTGGTCTGAAGACCAGCTGTATGGTACTTCTATTGTATAGTCATTTCTATTCAATGTCCGGTTCTGTGATCAACTTTTATGGTTATACAAAACTATTGCCGAAAGTGATAATCACATTGTTTAGTTTTATTTTTGCAAGGATGTTGATACAACAGAGGCACTAGCTGTGAGTTCACTGACAGAAGATCGAAGATGAGCTGTTGGCGCTTGTTGTTCCCCGGGCAATCTATGTATTTTGTAAGGATTGTAATATTAACTTGATAAATATTTGATGTGTAATTATTATGGATTCTATGTTTGCAAGGATTGCGATCTTCTTTTGCAAACTATCTATCAGTCCTGTGGCTAGTTGTCACATTTATGTCGTTTGGATATATATTTTTGAATAAAAGTTAAATATTCAGATAAACTTGTGAACAAAAAATAGTTGCTCGGATCTAAAGAGTTGAATGAAATGTCTATTGAACAATTCATTTTTGTTCATAAGTTTATATCAAAATATTTTATTTTTATTCACAAGTTTATATGCGAATGATATAAATAATGTATACTGAGATTTCCTATGACGTGTGAATAGAATTTTCATTTTGTTATGTATGATGTCTTTGTTTGCTATATGGAAGATGACTTCTTTTGGAGTAGTCTATTGTGAGGAAACTGATTTACTTTCAAGAAAAGAAAATGCATGATTTTTTTTTAAGGGTTAATTACACTTTGATGAGTACTTTTACCATAATCTCATTGTGATCCCTTTACTTTCAGTTGTGACAATCAACTCCTACAATTTAAATCAAGTTATAATGTCACTTTTTTGTCTATCTACAATAAATGAGATTAGTGAAAATTAGAAGTAAAAAAGCCAAAGTGAAATTTTAGTAAAAGTGTGGTGATTAAAATGAAACTTTGATGAAAGTGTAGGGGTGCTAATGAGATGAAAAAAAAATGGTGCGCTTTGCCCACATGACGAGTTATGTTAGTCTTGTTAACAGTGGTGGCTAGAAGGATGATATTATAATTTGACTTAAAGTGTAAGTGGTTGACTGTCCATAATTAAAAATGAAAAGACTAAAGTGAGATTATAGTGAAAGTGTATGGATGCCAAGGGTAAATAATTTTTTTTAAAGACAAATTACCCGTGTAATCCTTGTAATTTGCCTTTGGTGTTACTTTTAAAAATTAGACTGAAATTAATGTGCAAAATATTGATTGAGGGGTTGACATCTTATTTGAAAATGGTTTGTTACTTTTGAACAATTGTTTTTTCTTGTATTTTTGTCTAAGTTCTTAATCAATATTATCAATTAAATTAACTGAACACAATATAAAAAATTAAATTGATATAATAAAAATTATATAGACCAAATTCACACAAATAGCAAATTGCAAAAATCATAGGTTTAATTTATCCTTTTATAAAAATTTATTTGAATTGATATGCCCTCGTTAAGCTTGGCTTCTAATATGTATGTGTAACGTCCCAAATTTCTAACCCAAATAATAATACAACAATCATGGCTCTTTCAAGGAAAACCGAATATAAATTTTCAAATATACATTATATGATACAATAGTTCTTCATGTAACAATACATTAATCCAACAATAAGTAAATAAATAAATAAATACCCCAAGGGTTTACAAGTTTTTAAGGCTTGAGCCTGATTATACAAAACGGTTATTCAAACCCACACACATACAACCCTTGGCTTACACACAGAGTCACAGCAAAATAAGAGTCTCGTACTCTCAACACACATTTCCTCACTTTTAGTTAGGCGGCATCACCGCATCTTTTCGTGCACAATCCCGTAGGGTGAGCATAAAGCCCAGTAGGAAATCCTTAACAAAGTGTATACATTTTATACAAGTCTTAAGAGATGAAATACATATGCCATGCTATGCCCTTTTGAAAGAAAATCACATCTTCATATTTGAAAACCATCATGCTCAATGATGTCATACAATTTCAATTCTTCAAAACTTAACAATTCATTTCAAGAGCGGTAAATACGATTTGGGTAATCCCTAGGTCGGTGTCTGCAAGTAGACTATACAAGTACTACCAACTTGTCATTTTTATCGGTATTAACCGGAAGGCTCGACACCTATCGGCGCGGGTTTTCGGTCTTTCACCTTGGACTCTCAGGCCAACTTATTCAATATCATCTATACCACCTATCAAGACTTACCAACGTATTTACTCCAAAACCATTCCATGAAAACTTGTTTCTCAACATTCTTTTCTTAATGCAAGTTTTCAAATCAACTTTCAAAGTTTAATGTAATGAAATGAATTGATATACCAATAACACAAGATGAATATAAATATTTTTATTCCAATTTATCATCCAAGGAATAACATAATTCTCTCTTCTCAAGTATCCTCAACAATTAGTCATTTCAAGACTATTTCAACATTTTGAACAATAATTTCCAAAATGAACAACAATTCTCATATTCCCTAAAATTCATTATTTATATAAATATAAATAAGAAATTTTCCAAACATCCATTTATTTTGGCACACAAAATAAATATAACAATATCATTTATGGATTTTCAGTCTCTTTAAAAAGAAATCCCCAAATTCTAGGTTTTCTCACCAAAACTATACAACTCAAATCTTTTGAAAGAAAACTTTCCAAAATTATTTTTTTCTTCAATCAACAAAGATCAAAACCCATAAGATCATTTTAAAAGAACAAGAGACAAACCCACTTTCAAAATCACTAACTTCTTGAATCAACAATCAATTTTCAAAGCTATCGAAAGATAATTTTGAAAATCATATAGATCTTGCAAAATATATATATATATATATATATAACTCTAAGAAAATCCCTACCTCAAGTTTTGAAAAAGAAATGAGATGAAATCTCCAAAATTAACGGTGTCGAAACTCGATTTTCACCGCACACAACGAAACTCTCGAGAAGTTAACCAACTTTGATGAAAAACCTGTGGCAGAACTCTAATGGATCTTGAGAAATCAAGGTTTTGATCCAATTTGGTGTAGGGAAATGTAGAGAGAAGGGGGAGGAAAGGGTTTTTAGAGAGAGAGAGAACTGAAAAGTAATCTGAAATCTCCCCTAACGGACTGATATAACATGGTCCGCTCGAGCGTGAAAAGCTCCGCTTGAACGTCGAATACACTTTCCCAGTACTTTTGCAGACAGGTCAAACTTCTGGAACTAAACATTCTCCGCTCAAGCACATAAACGGCCGCTCGAGCGGATAAGCAACTTCGAATGCATTTTTCATTTTTGCTTCGGCGAGCTGACCGGGCAACTCGACCCCCAACATACTCAACGAAGTAACAAAACATGAAAGAATTAACTTCCGATACAACTCTGCAAGGCATAATTTGGGTTGGATTCGCATCTAAAGATTTAGAGACATACCTGTTCCAAGCACACCACTATAACCCGATAACCAAAAATAAGGGGAATACACGGGAAACTAAGATACGTAACACCGTTCAAAACCATACCAATCCGAGCCCGGAACACCACAAGAGACGGGTCAAAATCGGGATCGTTACAGTATGTGTGTGATCAGTATATACTTGAGATGGAGTTCCACATAATAATTTCGTTGTTCTATTTTTTTCCCTCACTTTCCATAAATTTCTGCTCAAATTCTCCCATCTAAAACACAGCTTAAGCCATGAACTTTACCAAATTGTGTGGTTTCACCATTTGCTTGTACATGTTGTACTTTCTAGTAGGGTATGAATTAACTATAGGGAATTTTCTTTTGTCTTTAAGGTTGCTTGGATCATAAATTTAAGTAGAAATTTAAAAATAACAAGAAAAAGGTGAATAAGATATAAGTTTAATTTTTTTGAATTTTCCCTTTTATTTTCAAATTTCTATCTAAATTTATAATTCAAACATAATCTAAATAAACACACAAATTTGAAAAAAAATAATGACGTGATGCTATTATTATTATTATTATTATTATTATTATCATCATCATATGTAATCACCATATTACACTTAATTTTTACTCTTCTTAGCTGTGAGGATTATCTTTTTCTTTTTCTTTTTCTTTTTTTTATTCAAAAAATGAATATGCATATGTTTAATTTCAACAAGAGGTTATGGAGATTCAAACCCAAATCTTGAGCGAGAGATTCAAAAATCTTATCCACGGAACCAATCCCTGTTGGTGTGAGGATTATCGATATATCATCAATGCATTGTGCACATCGACATCACACGACTTTGTATCTTGTTTGACGGATACACTACCGTGATGCATCCATTACCCAGAATCCCATCTCTAATCATGCCACTTGTTTTGATAAAATTTTCACAAAATTTCCGAAGTCAATTTTTTACCGTTAACCAATTAAATACATTTCAAAGTAAAAGTTGGACTGGATGTGATTGATGATGAAAAAAGGTTGCATTATAGCCAAGTAAGACTTTGACTTGCATTATAGTGAAAGATGGATCTAGGGGCTCGCAGGCAAGGACGGTGGCACTTCTAAAATTTTAAAAAATTATATATATTATATTAGTAATTAATAATTAGTAGGATAATTTTAAATTAAATTATGTCTCACCTTTAAAATTTCAGTAATTCGCACCCTCTAAATTATTTATATTAGAAATTTTTAAAAATAGTTTCTAAATTGAGTTTTATCAAATATTGATCTATTTTATTTGTTATCTGTATTATTTGTTATATTTATATATTGTTTAGAGGTACTTATATTCTTTTATTTGTTTTTATTTGTTACTATTCTTGTTTTCTAATCATATGTTATTTGCATTTTTTTTCTTCTATAAATCACCCTTTAATTTATTTATACATCTTATTTTGCATTCATTTTTGTTTGTTCATTCTCTAGAAATAGGAATATTGTCTGAAAATACAAATATTGTCAACTTTAACATAACATTCTTAAAATAAGTTCATAAAATTTAATACCGCTTATTGAACCGGATTATCATTATACTCATAAAAACATATGTTTTTAATTATATGTTTTTTTTTAAAACTAAACTGCATAATAAGATGAAAGATAATTTTGTACCAAGTTACTTGATCATATTTATTGAGAAAAATATTAATTAAGGTTTTGATATCGAGCTTATTATAGATATTTTTATATATATTATAAAAAGTAACGATTACAATATTTTTAAATAGTTAACTTTAGTAAACGGAAACATAATAATAGTTAATATTTTGTTAAGTTAATGCAAACAACAGAAATATGTCAAATTATATTTTTATTCTTAATTATGTTGACAAAGAATGTTTGACTAATAGTAATATTATTCATTTTTTGTGCTTGTATAAATCAAAATTTAAAAATTTTATAATAATTATTTTAGATGAAACGTTTCATGTGTTTTTGCCTCCCAAAACTGAAATCTTTGATCCGTCCCTAATTATAGCCATAGATGCCCTCTAATATCTCTGCTATTTCGTTAAGACTATAAAATATTCCAACAAACGAATTGGGTTTGGTGAAAATGGGTTTGAGAATTTTCGACCTTTTATTTTATTTTGGTGATAATGATTATCTATTTTTACGACATTATTGTACCATTTGATC